CATTTATAGCCTTCAAATTTCGTGCTAAATATTCTCACATTAACTGGTAATGTTTGAACGTAAAAGCTAACTTGTAAAAGTCAATTTTACATACATTATTCTAAACTGGAAGCACAAATGTAAGCAAACATTTATAATCGTGTGCTCGTTATCGTCAGCGTAAACAAACTCCGTGCGACTAACTCGCTTATCATGTTCCCCTGATGAATAAGGTAGACAGTATTTAAATAATTTGCCGTTCCTTGTTTCAGGCTCACTCTTATGGATCTTGCCTTCAGAGTACTTTTCCACCTATTCCAAACAATATTCAACCAGATAAGGACTGAGCTACCTAGTACGTGTCTGTCGCGACTGGAAATGATCAACTTATGCAATCAAAATATAGCTTTTCTCACAGTTAACATCCGGAAAGCCAAGGCGCTTCAAAGTCATGTTCATTTTAAAACAGATAAATTAAACAAGGACAATTTCATCAGATTTCGATAAATGCATCCATCGAGGTGTTTAAATTTACCTAAATCCAACGCTGAGAGCACAATTGAATACTTACAGCTTTCAAATTACAGTGTAAATGTCCACAAAAACCCGCACTTGAACAAAACAAAGACCTGCACTCGAAAGAAATGTACCGCACATGGCTTGGCGATGATGTCATTTGTTTCGCCCCTGCTGCGGGGCGGCCAAATCGGTGTCACAACTTCGGACGAAGGTCCACCGTCCCATGAAACTCGACTCAAGTCTGCATTAGGACTGCATTCTATGAACAAAATAAGCAAACGAAGATTTACACAACATTTTGATGACTCCATGTCATCACTTTAAAGTGCCACTGAAACGAAATTTTCGTACTCTCTATTATTATCCCAATCTATAGTTTCAAACGTGCTTAAAGTAATGGTGAACTTTATTTCTGTCAAATCCTAACGGAAAGTGCTTTTTTTAGCTGTTGAAATCAACTTTTTGGAGCAAAACTGTGTCCGGGCTCTGGAACCGAGTTTAAGGACCTTGTGACGTCACTGGTTGTANATTTTCGAACTACACCACTCGGTGGGTTAAATTTCTGAAAACAAATCACGGCCGCTTTCCGAGCCACACAACTCAGCAAGTTAGATTTCTGACTACAAAGCTCAGGCAGAGGAGCGAAATAATACAGCTGAAGTTGAGCTTCGTCAACGCAGTTGTTTGTTGCTGACGACGGGCGATTTTGTCTAACAGCGCCAAACTCTACTTTCGCACCAGAAGTCATACATACCTCCTTAAGGCATCGATAAATGTTAACAGTGATATCCTTTAGTCTCATGATATCCAGTCAGAAAGACTTGAAAAGAAAATCGACTACTTACAGCTTCCAAATTACAGTGTAAATGTCCACAAAAACCCGCACTTGAACGAAACAAAGACCCGCACTCGAAAGAAATGTACAGCACATGGTTTGGCGCTGATGTCATTCGTTTCGCCCCTGCTGCGGGGCGGCCAAATCGGTGTCGCAACTTCGGACGAAGGTCCACCGTCCCATGAAACTCGACTCAAGTGTGCATTAGGACTGCATTCTACGTACGCAATTACGCGCCATGATTGCATTGAATCGTGTTGCATTGCAGTAAGTTCGATTTCTGGAAAACAATGTACCTGCGAACATTATAAGTATAGACATTCCTCATACTTCTCATGTCTGAGATGTCAGGCAGCACTGTGAAATTTCTGTTATTTGTCACACGGACTACATTAGGGTAAATTTGATCGTTGGAAATGATGACTTCTGACAAGTCCCTTTCAAATTTTAATGAGACGTTTCGCAATCATATTGGTCCATTTCAAATTTTGAAAATCACAGTCGAGTGACAACATTTTGATCGACAGGTCAGGATTGTGTCCTAACAACAAGGGTGTCACGCCAGAAAAGCCAGGTCAAAGGCCAAAGGTGTCGCAGCAAACAATGTTTAATGGCACAGACATATTTTACAAGGCGCAGCCCCGCGTAGCCACGTCCCGACTACCCGAAAAATATTCCCAAATCAGTTAGCAGTTCTGTGTAGGTCCGCAAATGACTTCACTGCAAAAGGTTAGGAATGGCGTGGACTCCATGAAAACTGTATGGATGGATAAATATATTTTAATTATCCTAGGTGAAGAAAAGAAAAGTACCTCAGGCATAAAAGTAGGAATAAAAACGTTAAACATACTACGCAAAATACCAAATTGACATGTGTCGGCTGTATAAATTTTTCGTTTAGGAAACGCAACGCAAAAAGAAACACGAATCTTCGAAGATGCCTCTGCCATCTAATTAACCGCTATGAACTTTTCCATGTACACTTCTTATACCTGCGTCCTTGATAGACACGAACTTCCATGAAAGTGCACAAGATTTCCTCGTGCGAGTTACCGCAGTGTTCTTTAGATAAATTTATTTGCATGCCGTACGAGTACAGCTGTCGCTTTTGCTCGCGCAATTTTGTTTTACTGTTAATTATCTCCTCTGTGCCCAAAGCTACGCAAAAATGTAGTCAATCCGCTTGGGAATTCTCAGTTGTTTCCAAATTTGAGGATATAGTGAACATCCTGTGTTAGCATACATCTCAGGCCCGGACCCAATAAGAACCTAGCTATAACTACAAATTTCAAACACAAGATTTCGTGACGCTGGAAATCATTTTTAAATTTGCGAAATTTGCATTCAAATCGTTAATACTGTACATTTTCCTTGCGTTACATACAGTAGCTGTTGTATCAAAATACATTGCGTTATTACTGTGAAACTCAGAGAAACGTGAAAACCAGAAATATTTATGGAATATTATTGTGTAGCAAGGAAAAAGCCAGTTATGCGTGGGAAAACTAAACCGCAAACACCAGCGGTAATTAGTTGTGGTATTGAGGTTTTCTCGCGTGCCCTGAACTTTATTGCGATTGGCTCAGTACACAATCAACCGTTTAGAACCAAATCAAATTGTTCACGGTTTTCTGAGTTTCACAGTAATAAAAAAAAAAATTGATTTCATAAAATTTTAAATCCACTGTCCAAACTTCTGGGTCCATACATTTCCATCTCTATTACGAGGTGACCATTTCCGGTCCTGGGTTCATTCACGGTACAATTTGGAATTATCTGCGGTTCGGGGATCATTTACGGGCCTGTATATACGTATAGCGATGTTTCCCGTGACGTCACCCCTAGGTCACGTGGGGTTGTTGATTTCTGTGGTTGGCAAAAACACGACGTGGCTTGATGTTTCTTTCTAAATTTACTGCCTAAGAAAGGGGTTCGTGGAGAGAATGTCGGTGAGCTGCTGCGTGATAAATTGTACAAATAGGTTCACAAATGCATCGGGAATAATTTTTTTAGATTTCCTGAAAGTAAACCAAAGCGGGCCGCATGGATCAATGCAGTTCGTAGGAAGGATTGGACGCCGTCCGAGTACTCGCGAGTCCGCATCGTGCGGCTGATCGTTAATTCTCTGGGACTGAAGTACTTTCCCTTTAATGAAGCAGTAAGGGATATTGTCTCCACCTGAATGACACCACCAATGGTTTAACGTGGCCACTGATGACAAATTGATACGCTTCAAGCGACTTAAAGGATTTTAGACTCTCCTTCGTGTAAATTCCCGGCGTTTCGATTAAACACGTGTACAGATCCCCAAATGTTAAATCTGGCCAAGAAATGGGATTATTTGTCCATCCTTTCAAATTGTATGGGTCAGGAAGGCTACTTGCACCTTTGTCGTAGCTTAATTTAAAATGATATCGCGATCTTGCGACAGGATCGAGACTTTTTACTTAATCGGAATCGCACTTGGGAAGCCATGAAAACAAAACGAAGCCAGCTTTTTGCCAACCACTAAAGTGCGCATGTCTAAGAATGACGTCAATGTTTATAAACAAGAAACATCGCTATAGTTCTGCTTCGTT